ATATAATAACGAGGAGGATTTTCAGTAGCCAGCTATTAAGAAAAGAATTGTATTGTCTACCTAACATCAACTATATCCTTGCATCACTATCAGATACTGTTTTCTAGGGCAAGGAATGAGAATACTATAGAAGCAGCTTTCTGTGACCTAGCTATAGGCACACTTGTATTTTTTAATATTATTTTTCTTCAAAAAAATCTTAAAAATAGAAGTATCAGCTAACTGAATGCTACTGCTATGATAGGAACTACGCAGAAACACCAGTTCATTACCTTCTTCTTTTAAAGCACAGACTGCTTCAGTCTAAAAACAAATTCCCTTTTTTTTTCTCCCTTCAATAGCTTGACTCCTCGAGAGTTCAATTCTTATGGCTCCCGCAGAGGGAATGATGCTGTCATGGCCAGAGGAACATTTGCAAACATTCGCTTAGTGAACAAATTTATTGATAAACAAGGACCTCAGACTGTCCATTTCCCTTCTGGGGAAACTGTAAGTATGCATGCTGCTCTAATCTGAGGCTCATTGATGGTAAAGTAGATTAGCACCAGCTTGCTTTCTTACATCTTAGGTCATTTACTTAAGTGTCTTTTAAGTAAAGCTAATGAAGGGACAGGAGTCGTATTGACCTAGGGAAGCAGGTCACATATACTTACATAATGCGGTGCTATCAGGCATCTCAATGGAGAGTATAACCACTGTAGAAGCAGTTGTGGAAGGTGCAGGTTTGTGTTGGGAGTGAGATCAGACTGGAAGCCACAAAGCACCGTATGGTTGCTATCCTTAAAGTGCTGCTTGGCAGAAAGCGTGGGCTTCAGCTATTTATGTGGGGACATTTTTTTTCCTTGTTTCCCTGGAACCATGCTTCCACCCCAGAAAAAGTATATGAAGTGTTTGGCATTTTCATTCCAGCTGGATGTGTTTGATGCTGCAGAAAGATACAAGCAGGCTGGCCATCCTCTGATTGTGCTGGCTGGGAAGGAATATGGTGCAGGAAGTTCCAGAGACTGGGCAGCTAAAGGACCATTCCTCTTGGTGAGTGACTACAGTAAACTAGGAGGAGGACAGGACTTAAATGCATTAATTTGTCAGGGAGATTAGCTTATGACTAACATTCTGGGTAGCTCATTGTCACTTTAGGTAGCAAGAACTATTTTGAAATCTCAGCTGCCTCCAAGAACCACAGTAGAGTTGCAAAAGCTATTTAAATACTAATAGAACCTTTTCAGACTGGAAGCCTTGACCGATCTTCAGCTAGAAATCCACAAGGCTACACCAGAAAGGCCAATTTCTTTACTTCTGTTTCCTGTAACACAGTGAACCTTGGGGCTGCTTCCAGCTGCCTTCTTCAGCTCACTTAGCAAAGAATATAGAAAATGTAAGAGGAAGGGGTATCAGTGAAAATGAAATTTAGCATGGCTTCACCATGCAGATTGCAGGGATACTTAGCAGTATTGTTATAGGAGCCTAATAGAAATCCACGTACAGCAAAATACCTGTTTCGTTCTTTATCCTGTCCTACACTATTTACCAGCCCATGATCTGATTGAAGGTTTCTTGGTGTGGAATTTGTGAAGACAATATTGTGTGTAGTATTAAACAGTTTTAGGGTAGTCAGCATTTAAGATTACGTTCATCTAAGTTTTTGGTTTGGTTTTTCTTTCCAGTGGTGATTTTTTTAATCTTAACTGTATTAACATGTAAAAATTTAGAAATTAATTAAACTGCATCCTGGAGCTTGTAGTGTAGGAGGCCAACACTGAGTTAGAAGGAGTTACGGAAATGACTAGTGATGCTCTACGTAAGACACATTAAAGTGTGTAAGATTCCCAAGAAAGTGTATGTAACTTTTTGACAATCAGAATTCTTTTGAAGATGTTTGAAAGTTAACATATAATCAAGTCATCCTGGACAGTCTGCTGTCAGACAGACTTGCAGACTGTACCAGTACCTGGTAAATGAAATGGAGCAGATCACAAATGTACCAATTTCCTTCCTATAAACACAGAAAGGCTATCCTGAACCATGAAGATAATTGTACCTGTTCTGTAATTCCCAGGGTGTCAAGGCTGTCCTTGCTGAAAGCTATGAAAGAATTCATCGAAGCAACCTAGTAGGGATGGGAGTGATTCCTCTGCAGTATTTACCTGGAGAGGATGCAGGGACTTTAGGACTCACTGGACGGGAACGTTACACAATTATCATTCCTGAAAAACTAAAACCACAGATGAACATCCAGATTAAGGTATGAGACACCTAAGGGTTGAATTCTCTGAATCACTGTAATTTCACTCAAAATGAACTGTCTCTTCAAACAATGTGCTTTCATATGGCAGTAGGCTTCTCTCGCTTGAGGAAGGGAGAAAACTGAGATGAAGGGGATGAAAACAGTCATTGTAACAGGGATTTGCTATGATGGGATATAAAAGCAGCATGCCCAAACTGGCATTTCATTTTGCACAAAGCAGTCCTGTATTTTGGACCAGTCTTTCAAAGTCCACTATAAAGTCTTCTGTCTCAGTTAAACATTTGAAGCACAAAGTGAACTATAAGTATTAAACTATTTAAATTAAGTTAGAATTAAAATAATTCACTGACAAGTCAACTGACAGTATATTGTACACTGCAGCATTCAAAGTGAAGTCTAAGCATACCCAGCATAAAATCTAGTTAAACTGCAGGCCCTGTATTTGAAAGACTGCTTTTTGTCTAGCTTTACCTACAAACCTATGCCCTTTTTTGAAAAATATTAGCATCTATGATAAAAATTTGGTTTATTCTTGATTGGAACATCTGTAAAACTGACTACTTAAGCTAATAGCATGAAAGTCTGCTTTTTACTGCGATTAGCAAAACTGTCTACTTATTGCATGTTCATTTAATGCAGGTCGTCTCCTCAGATTAGTTTCTAACAATAGTTGTTTACATATGCCTCATTAACTGCCCTGAAATGGAGAAAGTATAGATGCCAAAGAGTTGGTCAGCGTATCAGTCACAGATGAACACTGTGCTTTCATCTGGAAGTACCTGAGTAGAGGAGTCTTCAGTAAAACACCATTGTTTTATTCACTTCATGTGCTTGTCTTTGTGCTTTTCTGATTATCAAACATGAGGCCTCAAAGAAAGCTAATGAAATTAGTATTGCTGTTGTACCTAAGCCAGAAGAATGACTATATAGAAGAACACCAAGGATTAATATAACAACTTGAAAGGATGGCCAGCTTTCATGCCTCTAGGCTTATATGAACAATAAATCTAAATGAGGCAGCAAATGCACTGCAAGGAGACTCCATACCATATGTATTATGGTTTGTTTCAAACCACTTTCCTCTTAAGCAGCTGCCTGTAGTCTAGCGTGGAAATACTGATGTCCAGTGCCTGTTCACTTTAGCTTTCTACTACAATTTCTTAAAATGCTGAAACTATCATAATAGTCCTTATTTTACTATGATGTCAAGTAACATATTGCAGGTTCTGCTGCTTGAATTACTTTCTTTGACCCCAACAGTTGGATACTGGGAAAACCTTTCATGCCATCATGAGATTTGACACTGACGTGGAGCTCGCTTACTTCCACAATGGCGGCATTCTGAACTACATGATCCGTAAAATGGCATCATAATCAAAAACATTAAGCAAAAACATCCAGGTACAAGCCTGCTTCTGGTGAGCGCAATAAAACTAATCATAAATTTGAAAGTGTGAACCATAAAGTGAACAGGGGTTTTTTTTGATTGTATTGGAAGGCATGTTTACAATGCTGAATTATTCTGTGTATCAGGATACTGGACATGCTTGCCCAGTTAAAGTAAACAGCATTTATTATTTGTCTTGTATGGTGGTTAGCTTGACTTAACTTACAATACAGTGCAAAATAATTAAAATACTGCTGGAATCTGTGGAACTGTTGAAGATTATGTGCTGATTTAATATACTTGGTCCACTTAGTTTGACTCTGAAGTTAAGTTTTATGCTCGTATCATTGGTCCAAAAATTAACTGATGGTATTAAAAAATAGGTTTTATTTCTTTCTGATTACCTTATATTGAGTCGCTTTCTTACCCAGTTGACCAGAATCTGAATCTAATACTGAAATTAATTATTTAGCTGTTTATTAATTTTTAAAAATGTGAACTTGTTTAAAACCTAAGCCTTTGTGGAAAGGTGGACCTATTGGGGATAATATTTCTAATGAATAAAATTAAATTTATTTTCAAGAATTCTGGTGTTTTTTGTCATATTATCTTCAGTACCAAGATGTAGAACAAAGCTTTGACTTTAAGTTCTTCTCATTGTCCCTGTAGGAGCAGAGTCATATAAGCCTTGACTTCTCATACTTTAATTCCTCTTATTTTTAATAATCTGCATGAGATAGGATGAATACAAATACTGCCAGAAAACTGCTGTTTTATGTTTTCAAGAAGACAATCTATCACAATTGTCAACCATTTTTACGGCATTGGCAACCACTGATTACACTAATGCATTCATGCATTCATTGAAGTCAATGACTGCCCAATCGACAATACCACATGAATCTGTTTAGTGATAACAAATATCTTCTTACTCAGAGATAAACAAGCTTATAGTACTAATTCTTATTTTTAACTGTATTTAGAGCAACTGCCACAACAATTAACATAGCAGAGAAATTCTTTCAGAGTAATCTCATGTATTTTTATTGCAGTTGGCTCCAGCTGTATCTGGAAAAAAAAACAAATGAAAGTTCTGAAAGAAGTCAAGAGGCTTAAAGAGAGGACAGACATTACCTGCAACAGGCTACTCTTGCCTGACTACAAAGAACAGAGCTCCTCTAGTAAACCTAGCACAGGCCCACTAAGATGTTGCAGGATCTAGAGCGTCTCTCATGTGAGGACAAGCTGAGACAGCCGGGACTGTTCAGTGTGGTGAAGAGAAGTCTCAGTGACATCTCAGCTGTTTGTGTACAAATAACTGAATTGGAGGGCACAAAAAAGATGCAGCCAGGCTCTTTTCAGTGGTGCCTAATGACAGGACAAGAAGCAATGGGCACAAAATGAAACCCAAGAAGTTCCCTCTGAACTTCAGGAAACACTTTTTTTTACTGTGAGGGTGACCAAGCACTGACAGGAAGAGACTGCCCAGAGAGCTTGTGGTGTCTCATCCTTGGAGATGTGCAGGTGCTGTCTGGACTTGGCCCTTCGCAAACTGCTGTAGGTGGTAAGATGACCTCTAGAGGTCCCTCCCAACCTCAGCTGTTCTGTGATTCTGTGAAACATCTTAATTCTGGTCATAATCTTGAGCATTATTTCATAGTAAGTATGCAACTTCGGCTTCAATTGCAGAGAAAATTCAGATATTCTCAAAACCCAAGTAGAATGGTGGTGTTCTTCCCCACCCTCCCATCTCCACTACCTACTGAAGGTAGGCTTGTTGTATCAAGTTAAATTCTTATTAATGTGTGACCTCATCAACCTTTATTACACCCATTTAGGCTGAACTGCAAAGTTGTTGTTAGTCCACAATCCTGGTGTTCAAACAATCATAAAAGACTAAAGCTCCTCAAATCCCTTAACTTACCAGTAGTTATTACTAGAAGCTGTGAAACTTAAGACTGATTTTTTTTGTTCTTATGCCAAGATTCCTAAAGTAGATGGCCCTTTTACACAGCAAACTGATAATCAAGGACTGTGATTTTCCATGGCCTTTTTCAAAGTGCTAAAGCAGCCTTTTCCAAAATCTTTGTTCTTAGTATTTTTGGAGGGGAGGCATTATCCAGCCATAAATCATCTTCATCTGTTATTACGAGTTTCCTTTTTGGAAGCAGCTATAAGAACAGCCAATTTACTGCGTAAAAACTAGAGAACAGAGTAAGTTACTATAGAACTGAGATTCAAGCTTCCTGTACAGTGCATACAGCTTTCACAGTACAAGGCATGGACTGGGGCAGAACATGAAGCAGTGCTTAAAGTTGTTTTGCTTTTAACGCCACATAACACTGTTTAAAAGAACACTGCAAGTCTCACTTATTAGGGTTTAAGTAGTTTAAATAATTTTTGGACTCCAAGTTAGGTTCCTGTTCAAGGTGGTTTGTTTTCTTCAGAATTCAAGTGTTTCAGACACGTAATTCTTCTATATATATACACCTTACTAGACTATCAAATGGATAAAGTGAACTGAAAATATATTTGACTTGGGTTCCAGAAATATTGAAGATTAAGCTTGTTGAAGATATGTAGAATCAGCAAGAGCTTTAAAGTGCACAAGTTTAACAAAGTTTCATAACTATGTCTGCAGCAGTTTGTGTTTTCCTGAGAGAAGTCTGGGATCTGGGTGGGGAAGAGAGATTTAAACACACTAATGCATAGACTTTGTTCCAATTCTAGATCAGCTCTGACATGAAATCTGCAGAATTAATATTTGTGTCTTGAGAGATTTCAGATGACAATTCATGAGACAGGGCATCAGGGTAAATGCTAATCACCATCTAAATTAAGCCTTCATGCATCTTACAGGGCACTATGTTGCCCCCCTTGGAGCTTGTTCAGTTAAGCAACACATAGAAAGGTGTCCATTTTGCAACTTCAGCAACAGCAACTTGACAAACATGCAGTAATAGAAGAAAGCAGTGCTACCATTTTAATCTGGAAGTTGCCTCCTCCAGGAGGGCTTGGTGAAGCCCTACTGCTTTTCTCAGACTGTTACGGAAGCATTCTCTGTTAAAGATGGGTTTAAAAGATGCAATATTTTCCTTACACAAAAGTTACGGACATTTTATCTTAATTTTCTATATACCAAAACGCCTAGAGCATTCAAAGTAACTTTTAACAAGCTTTAATAGTAGCTAAAGAAATGTTTAAAGTCTCAGTATGCATAAGCCATGTTGTCTGCATGGAGGTACAATCCAACCAGAAGTTACTGGTAATAAAGAAGATTCTGATTCACACAGAAAAGCATGAAGTTGTGGTCTGTCACCTAAAATTAGATGTTTAGTTATTCAACTTGATTTTGTTTTTTTCAGACCAACTTTTTCATAACAGCAACAACTAAGATCTAGATGCTTAGGCACATGTTTGTCCATGCTTATATTAAAACTTCTAGTGAAACATTTCATTAGATAGCAAATTTTTTTTTAGTGGCCATACTAGCCTTTTTAAATCTAGGCAAGTGCTAGCATATCAGACAGCATAAAGAGAAAGAATTTTTTTTATACATGGAAATAGATCATCCACTATTTCAGCTTAGTGCAGTAGGGTGATATATGCAATACAATGCTGAGTTCAGCTGAACGTTTCTTCAGCATCAAAATTCTTCAAACAAAAATTAATATTTTTCCATTTCTGCAAATCCATTTGTGTCCCAGTTTCAACATTCTCTACAACAAAGCTTTTGATTTTGATCACTGGTAGATTATCAAATGTCTTGTACTTCACTGTGATTCCCCAGTCATGCTGACAATTAGTGTTTCGGCAATGCATCTTGCTTTTTTTCTGAAAACAATCAAACTGGACTGGTTTCTGGTGAGGCTTTGTTATATAACGCTCCTTGAACGCATCTCCTAGGACAGTGTGATGAGATTCCTGAAAAAACACGTCAGAAGTGCTTAATAGTAGAAACACCATACCTCATTTTTTCCTGACATTCCCCTTCCCCTCACAAATACAATTTCCCTGGTGAAGTGCTTCCTGTCTTTCAGGAGGTTCGCCTTTCAGCCCCCTTGGCTCATTGCTCTTTTTTGCCCATTCATTAAGTATCAGCTACTAGAAAGGCCCAGGCCTGGGCTTATCAAAATCAAAATTAGTATGTCACCAGCTCATACATATTTGAACTTCTCTAAAAACCATGCTTGCAGTATTTGAGCCTTGTACATAAAAGTAAGAGAGTCATCCGGACAAAAGACAACTTGAGAGACTCCTGCTTCGCACTCATTTTAACTGTATGACCCCAGCTTTCCATGAGGGGTGATGCAATTACTTTGGAGTTGAAGAAAAAGTAACCCTAACAAGGTAAAGGAGTTACAGTTTTTTGTAACATATATAATTGAAGATTTAAAAAAATTAACAACTTAATTTGAAAGCATATGTACAATTTGAGCTGGAGTCTGAAAATGCTAGTTCCTCCTGGAAATGCAACTTCTATTAAATATACAGGCTGAACTATGACAGAACTCAGTTTGTAGGGATTATTGAAAATATTTTGACAGGTTATTTGCAGAGTACTAAGCAAAAACGCTTTTTGAAGAGTTTTATGAACTCTCAGATCTATGTGCACAGGTATAGGTAACAAGCCAGAAGCACAAAATGGAGTAACAGAGTTGTGTGTTAGATATCACTTGTTATTTGTCAAAGAAATGTAACTAGGCTTTCACAAGGCTGAGCTCCTCGCCTGTGGACCTTCCCTGTGCAGAGGAGTAGTGAACTCCATCTATGTCACAAAAACATCTGGTAAAAACAAAAAAAAAATTTGCTTGATTAAAACCAGAAGTGCCTGAAGGCAGGCACTCTGTAATGCTCAGCTGTGGCCTAAGCCCCTTATCACATCATAACTGCGCTTTTCAGAGCAGCACAAATTTCAGAACTGGAAAGGCTCTTTCATGATTATCACTTTCCATGTGTAGAGTATGTCCCCATGAGATACAGAGAAGCAATGTGAACTACCTAAAGATGTAAAACAAAGTAATATTGAAGAATTGAAGGGCTCCTCTTGTAAAACCATTGCCTATCAAAACAGAAAACTGGC